GCAGAAGCCTTCAAAGACCGGTAAGGAGCGCGGGCGAGCAGGTGGGCCCTTTGCCGTTCCCAGAAGTTACTTACTTCCGGGTTCGCCGACCAACCGGTTCGCAAGGACCGCCGCGAACTGGTTGAAACCCACCCCTGATAGGATCTCTTACAAAGGATAATACTCGGTAAATCAGGAGCCAGTGAAGTCTAAGGAATGCTGTTTGGATACCTCCCCCCTGCCCCCCAACTGTAATTTTAACTTGAGTGCTGCTCTTTCTCCATTTCCTGACTGACCTTTGCGAGGGTCTGTCGTTCTATGCTTAGCAGCCACCGTTCCTCTTTGCCTTAATTGAAAACTCTTTGCCTCCATTTTGCTTAAGGCTTATTCACCTCCTGCATGCCTCACAGTTTCCCGAAGATCAATCCAATCCTTCCCGCTGCAGGCACCCATCGGTCACACGTACCTCCCCTCACCCACAGTTCTTTCCAAAATGCACTTTCCTCCGTGTATTTATTTTCATGTCATCATTTCATTCAACGTTCTCTTCTCGTCCCCGGGATTGTGTATATACCTGTTTCCATTCACCCTCCACCTGGCCCTCCTTTCCCCTTCTTCAAGAGCCACATCGTCTCCACAGGTAAGAGCCTTCAGAGTGGGCAGCGGAGCGCTTAGCAGGGGGGATTCAGGAAGCAGGCGACTGCCAGTGGGCGCTCTGAAGAGAAGGAATTCACCCATCTTCTGGAATCTCGTGTGACCACTGCCACAATTCGTTCACAATTTCTCCCCACCTTCTCCTCCCTTCCACGTCGACTCAGGCCACCCTCTCCCTACAGCGTCTTACCTTTCCTGCAGATTTGACGCCTTTCCAAACGCAGAAATAGACAAGGACCCAGCAAGACATGAGGCACAGGGTCACTTCCCAGTTGATGGCCCCAGGATACTCTAGGCCTTTTGAAATATTCAACACCTTGTTCCTGCAAACAGAGGGAGAAAGGGTGATCACCAGAAAGGGGCGGCTCTGTGATCAAAGATCTCCCCCAATGCAGGTGAGCACGGCCCTGTTCAGGACAGAGAATCTGGTAGGTCAGCTTAGGGCAAAGGGAGCAATGCCATAACTCACTCCCAAAATTCGATGACAGGTGACCGCTTGTCGGAAAGTTCATCACAGGTAAGATTGCTGCTGGCAGTGCCATTGGCACAGTCTTCATGTCGGAAGATTTCCACGCATTCTGGGGAGTTCCAAGGATTCCCACAGGTTGCCCATGGCAGGGTAGCTGTAAAAGACTTCACCAGATAGTAGAAGCCCCAGGCAAGTACCATGATGTAGTACGTGTTGCAGTAGAAGACAATCACCATGGAAGCGATTCCCAGTCCTGTTTGGAGAAATCCAGTTAACTTGAAAAAAGAATGGGCTATTTTCCCTAAAGGGTATATAGGACACTGTTGCACAACGAAAATGAGTGATATTGCATTTGCTAAATGTCCATCTTTTAAATTCTGGAAACAGAACCCTATTTGCAACGAACAGTAATTTAATTTGGCTTTGCATGCAGGATGAAAGAGTGATGAAAAAGACCCATTTCAAATCGCTAGTAAGAAAAAAAAAAGAGAGTAGGATTTCTTTTCCTGGCTTCTGGGATTACAGGGTGTAATCTTACACTACATACTGTCTGCTCAAGTAGATTTTCACTGACATATTGATTACAAACGTTTTGGGTATCAAAAGCCAGTGATCTCAGCCTGATTATTTCTGTACTGTATGCCACCAAGAGAATTATGTCTATATTTAAGCAGTACTTCTCTATGCATCCAAGTATTCCACATCTCTTTAATACCTCCTGACCCATCTTTGCCAACTTCACATATTCTTCTAATTTGGGCACATCTCAGAGATCAATCTATTGGACCTTTTGATATCCCCTTGGTTCTCACTGAAGATCCCAAAGTGACGTTCTGACTTGGGAAGTTGAGGGAAGATGCTATTGGAAGGTAGCTCAACCTTTCCCTGCGAACAAACTCCTACAACGAACCTTAAGAGCAATAAAGAGAAGGGGATTAGTTGGAAAAAGATATTCTTACCTTTGAAAAGTGGCGCTATGTTCCATACAGTGATGCTTCCAGCCTTCATGAATTGCCCCAGAGCAATTTCCAAGAAGAAGATGGGAATCCCACCAAGGAGGGCAATAATAATGTACGGGATGAGGAACACACCTGTAGCCAGGTGAGCAACACAAAGTAAGCAACAGTGTCATTCTTCAATTCTAGACCACTTCAGCCGTTCCCATAAGTACAGATGATTTGTAGATTTATTATACTAAAAACATTTTTTAAAAAACAGCATCTAAATCTAATCCAATTTAATCTAAATTGTGCACTAGGAAAAGCTGAGACCTGCCCCATAAAATGTCGTGCCATCTTCATAATTTATTCTGTTTCAGTTTGTGGATTGAGAAGAGAGCAAGGATGTCAACTGAAATCATTTTAAGTGGAAATTGTATTCAGTCAATTTGGAGTTCTGAGATACCGGCACACCCTGAAAATTAACCTCAGATGTCATGTTTAAAATAGGCAAGAATTTCAGGTGGTTTTTTGCAGGTCGGGGAGGAGCCAATGAAATGAAATTTGGGTTAGAATCTGGGTGTCCCCCCCCCCCCATCAGTACCTGAATTTGTGACTTCTGTGGTTACTTGGAATTGTAATACTCATTGCATTTTAATTCTTCCCAGTTCCCCTTTAAGACTTCTTCATTTGTTGCCACCACTTAACTTACCCTTTTCCAATTTGTCACATATCTAAGTATTTTGAGATTGCACAATTGAGAATCAGCCTTGCTGGCTGGATCACGTTCCACAGACATGTTAAGGGTGCTATGCTGGAGAAAGCCGGCTGAGCTGAAATGCATCCTTGCTCTCCATTTAGAGTTATTTTGCTGGCAAAAGTCTTCATGTGCAAATGTCTGCAAAATATCCAGAGGAAGACCAGATCCCTAAGGTAGCTGCTATGGAGCTTGAAAGGAGAGAGATAAAAAGCAGACTCTGTTGTTCTCTATTATTTTCCTTCTGACTTTTATCTTCTGGTCATTTAGTCATAGATGCTTCTTCAGGCTCCCAAGATTAGAAATGATCTGTGGGCCTCCCCTGCACTGTCCACTTGGTCGCTGCCATGTGATCTTGATCTGTTTCCCACTTTCCCCAAACAGCTTTCAACTTTCCTGCCCCCATTGTTAACAAGTGTGCCAGTCTCATGGCTGTGACGGACAGGCTGGCCTGGTGTGTTCCCAAATACATTTGTGCACGTGGTCCTCAGCTTGAATCATCTCAAAGAGGCTATTTATATATAGTACAGATCCCTGGGTTAAGGGAAGGCCCAAGTATTGCTTCTCGTCCTCCCAATCCCTAGTTAAAAGGATAATCTTGGGGATATAAACTCTTTCCCATGGGGATTAGCAAGGCAATGATTGGGGAATTCATTCATTGCTGCGTATAGGTGGGGACATCTATCATCCAGGAAATGAAAATGGCGGTAAATCTGTGGCTCTGTGCATGGAGCAGCTAAGTTACACCAAGGCTGCAAGGCAAGAGTGCGTGCGCGAAGGCTGACTCCAAGATGATATGGGATTGTGTGCCTCTATTTACACATTGAACCAGATCGCTTGCAAAAACAGCAGCAACTGCGTTCCTGGAATGTGGCTTGGTTTGATAAATATTAATCTTGGGATTTGGGTAGGTGAGTATATTGGGGTTTCGGTTAATTAAAGGTTCAAAGGAGTGTGCAAATTTGGGGCATGGATGAGCGCAATAACCAGATGGAGTATATCAAGTGAATGAAACCTACAAGTGGGTGTTTGGGTGTGAAGATGTGCGTGGATTTATCTGAAATCTAGCATTTACTCAGATGGCAAACCTGCATTGTATTCATTTCAGAGTATTGGCGAGGCTTCATGTGACTCAATATTTCATTTTCTTTTCTTTGTTTTGAATCCCTGCACGCAAAAAGAAATCAATGCATGGGGAACGATTCTGGCATAATCTTGTTTTGTTTTCTATAAAAACCCATGTCAGTCTCAAATTCTCACTTGCAGTCGGATACCTACAACTAGACACACACGTTTATCCCTATAAATCAGCCCAGACTCAAAAACTACCCTTTCTTGGAATAACTTTTGTAGGACCAATTAAGGTCTGAAATATGTGATTATGCCATAGTAAAGGCTGCTTCTAAGAACACTCAAAATGTATGCCTCATTCCATTAAACAAATAGACTAAAATGGCTCCTTATCAGTTTTCATATTCCCTCTTTCTGCTTTTTCATTATCGACTCCATACGGCATAGTGAATGTAAAGGAAATATCAGGGTTAGATCATGAAAATAAATTGGTTGGACAATCATTCCATTTGTGCAATGAATTTTAGAATTTGTTGTCAAAGGAGACAGGGAGACTGCTGACAGAATTCTCTGCAATCTTCTCCAAATTGCAGTTCTCAGGCTTGAAAATTAATTTATGATGCAATTAATATAACAGCCTTCCCCCAGGAATTAAGCTACAGCTCTTCTTTTCCTCAGCCAGGTGACTATATACAAGATAGTCACACATTGGGAGAAAATTATCAGCGATATCTGCAGTATAAATATGTCTCCGATGTTGCCTTTATGCATATATAGTAACTCAATTCAAGGTAGGAATAGAGGCGATCAAAGTGCATTTCTGAATCACCCTATTTTCATAGACCAACGTTTATAGGAATGATAAAGTGTTGGCTTCTGCCTGAAGAATGAGATGCTTTAATCTCTTGGTGAGTTAGAAGGAGAAGCAAGGGGATAACTGGGAAAATGTAATCTCGTGAATTGAAGTGGTCGCCGTTCTGTCCGCAGCAATTTTTCACACTTGAAGGAAAGCACTGACATTTTTCTTTTGCCGATCCTGGCTACCGATCCATTTCAGATTGGCTGTTGAGATGCCTTTGAGGGCACGGAGCCAGAAAGACTGAATCATTCATTCCTTGTGATCTCCTCATACACCCCTTGACAAACCCAGAGATTTTATTTTATTCTGGCTCTCCATCTCAGCTCACCCATGCGAGGCCTGCAGCTACGTGTCTACCAAATGCTGTGACCACCGGCACTTGTGGATGTGCTGGTACCCAGGTACAATGCTCTGAGCACACCAGTTTGGGTACACAACTTCGGATAGGGGAAGCTTCCACCCCCTCCACCCTCAACAGCACTGAATGAAGCAAGAGTTTTCTCCTGGAATTTACCCCCAGCAGCTGTGGCTTGCACTGTGCCATGCTGTGGCTTTTACACAAAAGAAATTTCTCGCCGGCTGTCAGACAAGTAAAAGAGGAAAGTTCTCAGGGCCTCAAAGGGGAGGGCAGGCGATTATCTCAGCCTCAGCACTTTCCCCCAGAAGAAAAAAATGATTCTACTCCAGGAGGTTTGGAGAAATTGGACGAATGCATCTCTATTTCAACCCTGGACTATCCCCCCAGCCATTCTCAAAATATGCTTTATCACCAAACACTGCCTTCTCCAACTTCCTCTTTCCTATCTAACTTTTCTGGCCAGCCAGCTCCTCTGATTGTTTGGATCCCTTTTTCTATCCTTCCTGAGCTCCTTAGAAGCTTCAAAACTTTATTAGAGCAGTTTAAACTCATGCTCTGTAAGAGAGGATAGGCAAACAAGATATCCAGGTTATGAAATCAGGTTATGTGCTTATCCTTACTGGCCTAGAGGGTGGAAAGCAATATTCCACCCCACCACCCCTCATATCAGTTGCTGGATAAGATCTGGATCTCAGTGGGGATTATTCACCTCTGGAGACAGAAGTCAGGTGCCAATCCAAAAAAACACATAAAATAAAACAGCATCTCTAACCCACTTGCCAAGTTCAAAGTTTTGGCAATCTCTTTGGTTGTTAGCTCAAACTGAATCCATTCTTTATTAGCATAACAAGATTGACCAGAAATGCCTAAACTTTCAGGAACAACAGAATTTTTCAATGGAGAAAGAGGAAATAAATGTCTCTTTCTCAGAAGGTCGCCTATTTAAAATAGTAGGGTTGTCGAAATCCTGTCTTTTTCAATTGTGATTAATCACAAAATACTGCTTCATCTCAAGTCGGGATTGAGCAAGTCGTTTATTCTTTTTCCTTTCACTTTCTGTTCTTCTGTCTTGAAAAAGGAACAGCTAGGGCTTATGGCGACTGATACCTGCTAAATTTGTCCCATGCAAATATAAGATGAAAACTGGCTCCAGGGATGCAGCTGAGAGTTTTGTCTTTCTTCTGTAGTCTGCCAAAGTACTTCTCCCCCCCCCTCCCTTTCATTTGCACGTACAACAGTCTTAAACAGAAAGGGCAGATTACAAGGAAGGATTCTGAATCAATAAATGCAAGGGGGAAAAGGCAGAGTACCATCGGTGATGGAGGTGCCTTGGGTAGCAGGGTTTGCAAAAAAAATAAAATAAAATAAAGATATTATTGGTCCTTTGCAGGTTTTGCTAAATTGAGACACTTGTCCTTGGCTATTAAAAGACTGACTTTGAACGTTTTCGTTTCGCTTTTCTTCCAACAAGAACAAAACGGTGAACATCCCACTTAATTCTCACCATATTCTAATTTGACTTTTGAAGCTGGTAAGGTTAAAAATAAGTACTAGTCCAAGATCACCAAATCGGAATGGAGATTGTATTCCAAGTCACCAGCCCAAGACTCCAAGTATCACTAACAGCACTTGTCAGAGAGAAATAGTTGCAGAAGCGTCAGCTGGACCTGGCTGTTTTACCCAAGAGCCAGGCAGCATGTGAGCGTGACGCAATGTGCATCCCATCAACCCATGGCAGGCCTAACAGCATTGCTCTCCTCTCCTAAAAGCAGCCGGGAGAAAACCACCTATCCTTAAGGGAGAATGAGATAGCAATTTTCGCCCTGTGCTGTACAGATAATGAATCGAAATGGGAGTCACAAGGTGTCACAGTGGGATCCCAACCCCCGTTTATAAAGGTCAGAAAATCCTAAAATAGAAGGAGAGCCCTTCCCCCTATTCCATTGCTAATTAAAGAGACACTAGGGGAGGATTGGGGCAAAACCTAGAAAGCTAGGGACTTTAAATTTGCAGGGATTGGCCACGGTAATCTTACAGAGGGGGCAGTGCCCCTGAACAGACACACCGAGAGTATTATACCCCTCTTCTTTTTCCTATGTTTTGGGATTAAACTCCAGTTTGGGAGAAGGGACTTAGCTTAAGCCTAGGAGACACGCATCTCCCTTTTTTTTCTCCAATCCAGGCCCCAGTAGATTTGTCCTTCCCGTGGCCTCTGGTGGCGCACCAGTTAAACACATCAGAGTGGGAATGCGCTCCTCTTGGCTTCTCATTCAGTTTCTCCTCTGCATCCTTCCTCAAGATTCATTGATTGGAAAGGGACAGATCCCAGAATGGCTCACATGGGCTGTATGGCTTGGAGAGTGCCAAAAGGAGCCCTCCTGGAGACGAGACGATAGAAACAGGTCGGGTGAAAAAGATCATGTTTCCTGGGTTTCTCAGCAGTTCTCGGCAGCCATCCCTGCACCAAGTGCACGCTGGCTCCTGCCAGAACACAACTGCTTTCCATATAATGTTTATGGCTTATTAACCCACAATGGCCTTAATGCTTTTCTCCAGGATCGGGAGGTTATCGAGACAACATGGGGAGGAAGGGGGGGATGACACCCTTATTTTTAAGGAAACCAGCTAAGTGTGATACTCAAAGGCAGTGCCAGATGAGGGCCCAATGAATCCAGGTTCCAGGCACCCATGAGGTTCACTGGATGCTTTTCAGCCAGGCATTTCCTCTTAGCCTGTCCTACCCTTCAGGGTTGTTGGGGTAAATTGGGAGAAAGGCAACAATCACCTATGCCCCAAGGAATTCTTTGGAAAGAAGGCGAGAAATAACGTGATAGCAAGCACGTCAACAGTCTCCTCCCCCAGCCAACTTGCCCTGTCACATTTAAATCCTCAAGCTGGATGTCGTCCAGATATGTTATATTGTGATACGTGATTAAGTACATGCTTTCTGCAAGTATGTTTTCCAATATTCAGAAAAATAAAGAGGGCAAAGCAGTTCCTGGGGAGGATTGGACAGCAACCAAAAGGTGCTAGAAGTTTCTGTTCTGACCAATTCACGCATAAAATGCCCTTTCACAATTTGTTCTAAATTTATTTTGCGTTATTTGAATAAAACTTGAGGAAGGCAAGATTTGCCACTGAGACTGCCATCCAGGAAGGACTACCATTGCCGTGAAAGGCCCTCTTTTCAGCCAGCTGTGCCTTCTCTTGGCCCCTCTGGTGTTCCCACATGGTCTCCCGTCCTCCCCTGTCATTATTCCCCCCCCCCCCAACTTCAACTTTGAAAAGGGTGAGGCATCTGACTTGGGGTGTCCCTGAAAGCGGATGCAACTCTGGAGGCTCAGTTGTTGTATAAGCGGGAAGTGAGCGAGAGATTTGGAAGCATCTAACCTTGGAATCTGCAGGGTAACTCAGGATGGGCCCAGGAGAAATGCTCTGTGGATGTGGCTCATTCTTATCAGTGCGTGGGTGTGCGTGCATGCACAAGCATGCATGTGTACATATGCAGGTATACAACGTCTTTCTAGTTTGTCAACTAAAGGACCAAAATAATCTCAAAGAGGCTTGGGTCTTCATTCCACCGTGTGTGGCCTCCTTAACTTGTTGCAGTGGGAAAGAGGACAGAAGCAAGTTTTCTCAAGTCCCTCTATGGTAGGAGTGGCCAAGACCCCCGAAACACTACAGCTGGAAAGAGGGGAGTCCCCCACAGTCAAAGTGGGTTGGGAAATTTTCCCCGCTTCCCTTCAACGTGCTCCCCTCCTGAGGGACTTTTGGACCCACAAGTAGCAGGATGGGGAGGTGTTTATATTGTATCCCCCTTCAGAACAGCAGCCACGATTCCCTCCCACCTTTGCTAGGATCCTCTGCCCAGGCGACACTCCTCTCGGCAAGCTGGCAGCTGCCCTTTGCTCCCTGCCTAGCCACAGATGTGTGTGGTGACAACACGGTGCCAACTACTTGTATCCTTCTCCGCCTCTCAACGTTCTCAACATTCCCACTGAAGGCAGGATTTCTCCCCTATCTTCACCTTCGCCCATGATTCAGTCTGGATAAATCTCTTCCAAGAAGCTTAACCTTCTCCTATGGGGATTTTTTTTTTTAAAATACCCCTGGAGGGATGAGGTTTTGGGGAACTCCCACAGGACATCTCCCACCAAGATTTCCCCTCCCTTTCCAATCTCACGACTGGGATGCCCATCTGTTCAGCCTACTAAGTGATGATCTGACTCACGTTCGAGTCTTGTTTTCAAATTGTGGGGTCCGGGCCTGAGGCTTTTCGATTCCAGGTAGGCGTTTGGACTGAATGCGCCTACTGAAGAAGACAGGGGAGGCCCTCCGAGCAGAGCATATTAACCCCCCCATTCCCAGATCCAGCCCTAACTTTGGAAAGAGCCTGGAGGCTAAGCCAAAGGCCAAAATGCCACTCTGGGAAAGGAGCAGGCTAGAGTTTTTTCTTTCCTTTCCTTTCCAGGGCATCTGCTCTTGCGGCTGCCAACTCTAGAGTAGTGTGTAAGGCAATCCAGGCTGGATTGCCTTACAAACTACTCCTGAGTTTAGGATGTCAGCCCAACAAGCCACTGTTTCAAGGCTTTCTCAGGTGCCTTGTTCTTCCCAAGGGGCCTGGATCCTGAAGCTTCCTGAAGGTGCAGGGTGCAGGCTCCGGAGCTAGGCATCCTAAAAGGGTTCCCATCCGACTCTCTGGACCAGTGTTTGTCAACCTTGGCCACTTGAAGATGTCCGGACTTCAACTCCCAGAATTCCCCAGCCAGCATTCGCTGGCTGGGGAATTCTGGGAGTTGAAGTCCGGACATNGTGGGTGGGTGGGGCCAGCCAGGAGTGGGATTTGGGGGGGTTCTCCGAACTGCACAGAATCTTAGCTAGAGGTTCTCCCGAACCCCTGCGTACCCCCAGCAGCCCACCCCTGGACGCCAACACGTAGAGTGACTGTTTCCAAAACTTCTCTTTTAAAACTTGATTGGAGAATGAGAGATAAATAACGGGAAGGGACCAAGGGAGGAAACTGAAGTGGCAAAAGTCCGGCGCAAACTCTCCGTCCTGGCTTTAAACAACTGTTAAGGATCCTTAGAAGTGCCAAGTCAAGACAGATCTGTTAATTTTCAACGGTTATGAACCTCGGGACGATCTAAACCTTGCTCTATTTCCCCTCCTCCCACCTTCTCATCAATAAACCAGATTGTTTTTTTAAATTTCCACCCCCGTTCAACCTTCTTTGATTCTTTTCGGCTGTGTGATGCAATCTCCTGAAACTTTGGCGCGCCCCGAGGACTCACCGGCCTTCGGGAACGATTGCAACAGCTCTTCCCAAAATCTTTAGCTCCTGGAGTTGCGACGGAATTGAGTTTGGCGAACTCCCATTATGTTCCCCGCCACGAAAATCACTTGGGGAAAAATGATACGGTTCCCCAGCAAGGCAAGCTTGCTTTTAAAGGAAGGGGGAAAAAGCGCTTAGCTTCTAACTCCAGCTAGGAACAGTAATATATAGCAATAATGGATTTGCCCCTCGGGTTTTTCTGGAGCTGTCAAGATAATAACAACTCATTTTTAAAACGTCAACCAAGCTGCGCTGAATTCCAGGGGAGGAAACCCAACGAGAGGGAAGTTTCTCCTAGGTTCTGTTTTTTTCATCTGCCTTTTCAGAGGTGGGAAGACTTGAAAAGGAGACCATCGTTCTACCCCTGCGCTCTACAGTGTAAATGCCATCATGAGAAGGTCAAGAGAGCCGAGATGGCGCAGTGGTTAGGGTGCAGTATTGCAGGCCACTTCAGCTGACTGTTAACTGCAGTTCAGCGGTTCAAATCTCACCGGCTCAAGGTTGACTCAGCCTTCCATCCTTCCGAGGTGGGTGAAATGAGACTGTGGGGGCAATGTGCTGATTCTGTAAACCGCTTAGAGAGGGCTGAAAGCCCTATGAAGCGGTATATAAGTCTAACTGCTATTGCTATTGCTATTGCTAT